CACATGTTCACTGTCATGAACTGTCAAATTTGTTCTTCAACATTATGTAGCTGTTACCTTACATGCATTTTATTTTATGTTAAAACACATCACATGAGCTTCTGTTTTAAACAGGAAGGCAACATTGTAAGTGTGAAATGCTTTTCTTCTGGATGAGTGCATGTTAACAGAATGGCTTCTGGAAGTGGGACAGACTTGAATCTGAATGCAAGAAATGTTATTTTTATTGTTATAAAATAACAAACAATGCACACTATATTTCAAAGAAAATTTTTTAACAGTTCTGTAAACACACATGAGTTATTCTGTTGCAGTTTCTACTTGATTCATCCCAACTCTTAATTAGCACACCTGCCAATCATTAACAGAAGAGACTGCTGTGACTTTAAACAAGAAACAGGACAGAAATAGCAATTTGTTTGTAGCTCCTGATGTTGCCTAGGTGTCTACAGTCTACAAGAGAAAGAGGAGTATTGCACATGCTCTTTTTAATAGTACAGGAAAGACAGAAGTGATGGTTCAAACAAGAAGCACATGACCATTGGCCTTGGAAGGGGAAATAAAAGTCTGATAGAGTCTGAGGGTAACCAACCGGAAACTGGCTTCCCTTTCATACCATGTTCAAAACTCTTCTTTCCCCTTTTTCTGTACAGATATTTTCTTTTTTTTTCTTTTTGTTCTCTGTGCTAATGTTTCCCATATACATGATCAAACTTCACACATCCTCACACTCATTTTGCCTCTATTGGCATGGTCTCTGTTTGCCTGCCATATGTAACTATGCCCACATTACTTCCAAGCTCTATTTAAAGTTTGAAATGTATCCTTCCCTGCATTTTGTATTTTTATACCTTTGGAACTTGGCAAAAGTTTTCTTCATCAAAACATGACTGATCTTTAATCTGCAGCTAGTAAAATTCAAAGAATTGTTGCTTTCTAAGTTTTGCATAGTCAGTCAAGTTCTCCATCCTGAATAGGTAGAAACACAGTGGTGTCTCATCAGGTATCTTTGTTGTCCTACAGGCTATCCTAATGATAGGTCATGCGGTCTTGGAGACCTGGATAACATCAGGAGATTCTCCTTGAGATTTTCAGCTGACTATTTGTGGACAATCTCCACTGACTCAAGAATGGTGCTGATGCAAGGGGCTATTTGTTACCAGAGGAATGAAGATTTGTCTGGGAGCCTGACATAATTTATAAATCGTGAAACTACTAGGAGTGATTGCCCCCAAACTAAAAGTGCTTTAACAAATGGGTCTGGTGACTATGTATTCATAAATGATCTTATAAAATATATATTGTCGATTAGGTTACCAACTAGGCCAAAAGCTTATTCCCAATTGGGTCTTCTTGCCTTCCCTGTGTCTTCTCTCATTTCTAAGACCCAGATCAAATTGATCCGAGTGTCCTTGCCTAGGTCTTGACATGGACATAGCAACAAATCATGTGGTTATTGTTATCATCACAACTTCACCCTTTCTGCACACTGTCAGGGCCAAATTTCATTCTAATTTTTAATGATTTATTCTTATTTTGACTTTTCTAATGTTGTTATTCTGCATCAAGCACTATCAGAATATATGCCTTTTTTTGTTTTGTTTCTACGAGACAGGGTTTCTCTGTATTGTTTTGGAGGCCCAGTCTCGAAATCACAGAGATCCGCCTGCCTCTGCCTCCCGAGTGCTGGGATTAAAGGCGTGCACCACCACTGTCCGGCAGAAAATATGCCTTTTTATAAAAAGAAGGAGCCCAGAAATGGTTTCTGTGTCAAATGAGTAATTGTCCTGTTGTCATATTTTCCTGTCAAGTATTATATACCAATTTGACCCATGTGATTGTTGTGTAATTGCACATTTAAAAATTAACTAATAAGTCAACATGGGATTTTTAAGACTAATATGCAAATGTATTTTAATAGTTGTCTACGTTTTCATTTTTAAAACAATCTTATTTTATATACCTATTCCAGTTCCCTCTCTCTCTAGTCCTCTTGCTTCTCCCCACCCCATCCCCCATCCACTTCTCAGAGAACTTGAGACATCCCATGGGGAATCAACAAAGTCTGTCATGTCACTTGAGGCAGGACCAAGGCTCTCCCCACTCTTATCTAGGCTGAGCAAGGTCTCTCTCCATAGGGAATAGGCTTCAAAAAGGCAGTTTATGCACTAGGGATAAATACTGGTTTCCTCGCTAGTAGTCTCACAAACTGCCCATGCCATCCAACCCACATTCAGAAAGTCAGATTTTTAACTGAATTTGAGTTTTGTTGCATAATTAGAAACTTGATGTTTCTTTTCCCTATGTCTGTTTGGTTCACCTTTGCTTTTATGAAGTTTATGTTCTTTTTCGTTGTCAATTACCTAACAGAGGTCCTATATTTCTTATTAAATCCAGGCTAGCTTTTCAAGCACTAAGTGGAAAATGTATAGTCCTTTCCAAAATACTATTGGTTTCTTGCTCATCTATGAATACTAAAACTATAGACTTGTTTTATAAACTGAGAGAGTGACCAGTGGAGCCTGGGTAGAGGAGGGAAAGAGGATGGCAACAGAGAGCCTAGGTAATAGGGATCAGAATACAGTTAGATGGGGGAACTGCTCCTGGTGTCCTACAGAAAAGATCAATTGTAGCTTACATCAGCTTCTTATACACTTCAAAATAGCCAGAAGAAGTGTGTTCAAATACCATATAAGTACTGTGTTTGAGGAGATGGATTTGACCATTAAATTGCACATATGTATCACATTACCATACTCTGCTAATGATGTGCAAACATGTGTCAATTAAAAATGAAAAATAGCCATTAGCACATTAAAATTTCATGTGGTTCATCAGGTCAAGCCTTTTCCTTTGTGTATATGTTCCCCTATTTTCATACATCTTTACTATTGTCAAAATCCAATTCTACTACTAAGATAATGACTTTTAAAATGACTTAATGCCTGTTTGAAATTAGTCTGGAGTACAATGAAAGACACAGTTCTAAAATATCAGCATAACAGATTTCATTATTCAATTTTTTAAATAATTATTCACTTTCTAGATTAAGTAGCGTCTTTGACTAAACTTCAATAGAGTTGCTATTAAAACTGGATGATATTTTAATAAATAATTTTTTGTTTATACAAAACTTTAATTTATTCAGGGGAAATTCTTCCTATTGGTAGACATCACACAGAAGGGATCTTGAAGAGACAAGTACAAGAAATTAGTACAGGCATCTGGGAAAATGTGAAGTCAACACTTTTGTGTTGCAAGACTAAAAAATTAGTGCATTTAACGTCCAAAATGGGTTAACTGTGCTTTGGTTTATGCAAATTAATTGATAATTTGTTGCTCAGCAGTAGTTGTATGTCATTCTTCTATTTTCTCCAATATTTTTGGGTGAAACATTTATCTGATGAACAGGGAAAATTTCTTACACACACACACACACACACACACACACACACACACACACACACCCCACATACAATCTCCAAAACATGTTTCTTGGGACGGTCCCCATTCATCGTGAAATCTTGAATCAGGTGCTTTCACTCCAGCTTCGTCCTGAAGGGTCATCCTTTTGTCACCCTCCCTTTTCCTCCTTGAACTGACAGTGGGTAGTGGACCACCATTTGTGCATGGCTAAAGACCGTGATGATTTTATGGCATCCAAATCATTTCACCTCCCTAAAGTAGGAATTGAGATTCTGCACCAGATGATATATCTTGTGTTTCCTCTTCTCCTCTTCTGGAGAGGGACAAAGAGGATCCTAGGTGAGAGGCAGGTTTTCTCAGGGAGCAGGACATTTCTTGAATGAAGATGTACCAATGATATTTACACCCACTTTTTTGTTACATGTCCTCTTGTTTTGAGTTAGCATGGTATTTAAGATCATAAACATTTCTTAGATGACATAATACATATTTAAATAGAAATTTATGAATTTTAGCATTTTAGCTCCATGTGTTTCTCAAAATTAACTTGTATAATTAAGAATAAAAAAGCAAGACAACCCTAAAATGCCTTAGAGTTAATCTTGTTTATCAAATGTTTTTATACTGACTTTTATGCCTGATTATATCTTTGTGGTAAAGCAGTCAATTACTTAGAAATAATAATATATATATATGTATAGTTCAAATCAATCAAATGCAATTTTAAATATTAAAAGCAAATGTCCTTAAAGAAGATTCCAACACAGATATGTATTTATATATGTGTAAGTAGAATTTCATATGTTAGGAATGCATTTTATATTTGATATTTATATTAAAATACAATACTTTATATTTTCAGAAATATGAACAATGATCTCTTCTGTGATTCGCAAGTATCAGCCTAATAAGAATTCCCACTACTGTGGCATGCTTGATTCCTTTGTGACAATTCTGTAGCATCCATAGGCCACCGGGCTAGCGACTGAAGCCATTATGTTGCTTAGCATTTCCCCTGTAATTATTTTTCATGTTTCTTCCAGAGTACTCCACAAGGTAGTTTTACTGTCACTACAGGGTAACAGATCGGAAGTAATTCTACACTCAAGGGCTTTAAAGAAATACAGCATTACTTTAGGCTCATTTGATGTTGTGTTGCTGCATTCGTCATTTATATAAAATACAATTTCTTCTTTTATTCATGAAAATTGTTTCAATATTGCAATGTAGGAATGATAGAAAACACTAGAGTGCAACTGTGCAGACCTTCTCTTTCTTTTGTTTGTCTTTATTCTGTTTCTCCTTCTCTGGGAGGGGAGAAACAATCAACACTCCTCCCATAGGCTTCAACTTTCACGTCTGTTTTGCCGTTATCCACCCTGCTAAGATATAATTAATGAGAGCTTTCCAGAATGTCACACATTCTGAAAACTATCCAATCCCTTCTCTTTGGAGAATACATTGAAAATAACAATAAAGGTGAGGTGGTGTGAGCTTTTCAAGTCTTTAGAAAACCCATCACTGTGATCTTTGTTCCACCACTGGGGAACGAGGACATCACTGCACATGTCTGGCATTGTTCATGACAACACAACAACCGGAATAAAGCAAGAGTTTCTGGGAGTAGCATTAGGATGCAGCACTCCTGCTGTGCACACCAGTTCCCTGCTCTGCACAGCTGCCTTCTCAGCTGGGGGTTTGAAATCAGCACTGTGAGAAAAGACAGAAATGACCGGGATGCATGCTCCTCACTATGAGGAAAAGGTAATGTTCAATTAACGTGTCAGCCTGCTGCTTCCTAACTGACTTATTTCTGTTTGCTTGTTGGTTTGCTGTTGCTTTGGCTTTCTTTCATGCTTCCTTTTCATTCAATGCAATAAACTGCCTGAACTGAAAGTGTTTGGGCTGTGCTTGTGGGAGAGGAGCCTGCAGCACTGTGGCTTTATCAACACCAAGAACAGTGTGTGCATTCAAACCCACAGGGCAACAGCGAGGCTCACGCTGTCCTGGCTAAGGCCCATGCAAGATAGTGAAAACACAGTTGAGGGAGAAGAGCCAGCATGAAAGGAGCTTTTATGAAGGCAGGGCTGACTTGTAGAAGGTTCTTGTTAGCCATACCTGAGCCTCCACTGTAAAATGCCTGCTAGGGTGTTGACAGTAAGCTGTGTTTTACATTTGATCTGAGTATTAAAACCTTTTCTTTTTCGTAAGTTGGAGTCTTAGCTCTTCAGGCATAACAATCGCATTATCTTCATTTTTAATGCTTAGAAATTGTACTTGGATTGTGTAGATAAAAATTTAAAAGAAACATGATTTTATAGAATCCTATTCTTCAAAGGATTATATTATTCTGCTTCTTAGGGGCAAAAGATCCACGAGGGCCCTGAGGAGAATCCTTTTATCTTTTCTGGGAAGAATTTATTTTACCGGCACAGAAGAATCTGAGAAAAGACTGTTTCTGTGACACAAGAGCATGTGGTGAATGTGGGAGTGTGTGCCCAAGTTGGCTTTTATTGTGTCAATTTCTTCTAGGTTTTTCATTGGCCTTTTGCTTGGAAAACTGAATGACCTTGAACTCGAGCTGTGTCCTTAGAAGTGCAGGGATTGACCATCCACAGGAAACAAGCCAATTTTGTTATATTTTAAATATATGAACCAAAACACTGATTGCCCTTGTTTTGATAATTACTAAACATAAAATCATTTTATCAGCATTTATTATGTGTGAGGCTCTGGGTTTTGTGATAAACATGGAAACTAAGTATATAGTTCCACTCTTGAGATCTCTGCATTTTTACCTGTTTTATTAGGAGAAGATATGTTTAACATTTTGCAGAAAATTTTGATAGATTTCATTGAATTTCACCCCAAAACACACAAAATTTGCTTAACCATTGACTTCTCTACAATGAATTAATTTTTAACCTACCTAGGCATCCAGTGTTTGTTGAATGAACGTTTTACACAAATCACCATTGCAATCCAAGATATAGCAAACAAAAGACCAGCCTCTCTTTTCATTTAATTTACAAAGTATGGGAGAGCCTGGGAGGATATCCTAGAATTTGAAGCAGCTGCCCTGATCCCACGACAATCATATAATCCTCCTTGCTTTCATGCTGTGTACTTACTTACCTGAAGGAAATGAGAAAATGTTAATAATGGGAAGTGATGTTGGAGTGCCTGGAAGTGATTTCAAGGTAAATAGCATAGACCCTACAATAGCATAGATCTTCAGATTCTGTTTTAAAATAGAAATGTTTACACTAATTCCAATGTACAGGATTTTAAACTTTGGACATTCAGAGTGATTAGAGACTTTTGAGTTCATTCTTGGCTTTTATATTGACTTGCTAATAGAAAAAAACATACTGGATTCTAATATTTCCTGAAATTTCTAAGAACTGTGTCTGTTCTGGACACTAGTGACACTATAAAAGTGAGAATATACTTGGTGTCCATTAACTGTCCACCATGGAAAGAACGTGGCATAATTCATATGTGACTTCATATAATGAATCTCATTTTTAAAAATTATTTTTAATGTGAAACTATAGCAGAACAATCTTTACCTCTTCCATGGCTTCTCTCTGCATTTCTTATCTTTCTATCTCCATCATCTATATATATTCACTAATTTATTATTTATCCATCATTGTCTATCGTCAACATCATTGACTTTACGTATCTAATCTATCATTTATCTATCCTCTCTATCATCCATCTACCATTTATCATCTTTCCACCATCCATCTACTATTTATCTATCTTTATCTATAATACATATATCTATATGTCTATTGACTATCTATAGGTCATCAACCCATATATAATTTGTCTCTATAATCTATAATTTATCTATCATATATTTTCATTTATCTGTTTTCAAATAAATAAATATGTACTATGTTCAGTTTGGACTTTGGTACCTGCTATCTATTTATCAATTATCAGCCTAGGTAAAGTAGCTGAAAACCTAAGTTCTCATATTCCCTAGCAGGTGGGACAGGGATGACAGAAATGAGTATAAACTTGACAGATTTCCTATGGGAAATTTTGTATTCTCTGATGTTAGGGCCTGGCATAAGGCATTCTTGACCATAATCTTAGCGGATCCTTCTCTCTTAGTTCTTCAAGGCAGATAGTGATGTTGAAAGCAGCTGCATCTATTTTGTGGCCATGAAGGAGGAAATATGAACAATCAAAGGAGAATTCCAAGGAGGCCTAGGTAATCTATTGAGCCTTGGGCAGTAGATCAGTATTTATCCCGAGTATACACATGGACTTTGGACTCCCATCCAAAAATGTGAGATGCACTCTCACCCTGAACTCTTTGGGGAGGGTCTAAGCCCTGCCCTGGATGAAATGACAGACTATGGACACCCCCATGGAGGGCCTCACCCTCCCTGGGAAAATGAGGAGATATGGGGGGGGTTGGTGGGAGGGCATGGGAGGAGCAGAGGGAAACGGAGAGGGACCTGGAACTGACTTGTGAAGCAACCCTGTTTCTAATCTAAATTTAAATTTAAAAATAAATAATAATAAAAAAGATTCTGGGATCAAACACAGGGCCTTGTACATGCTGGGCAAGTTGGTATGTGGTCACAGGGCTACACTCCTGTCCTAAGCATTTCCAATCACAAGTGAGAAACTGGGATTTGAAATTAAAAGCTAAAAACAACGAGCAGCTACAGTGGGTGACTATGAAAGGCCAGAAGTGGGAGAGGGAGCTGGGATTGACATGTGAAACAAGCTTGTTTCTAACTTACATTAAAAAAGAAAGAAAGTCCAGAAGCAAAAAATAAATAATTCCAGAAATTCCAGTCTTAATTTGATGATCAAGCTATTAGAACAATGGTGCTTGCTGGACATTGTAAGGCTACTTTGAAGTTCTTTACATATATATATATATATATATATATATATATATATATATATATATGTCAGTGAGGAGGCCTAGGGAACCTATTGAGCCTTGGGCAGCAGATCAGTACCCATCCCAAGTATACTCACGGACTTTGGACTCCCATAGAACAATGTGAGGTGCACTCTCACCCTGAAATCTTGGGGAAGGGTCTAGGCCCTGCCCTATATGAAATGACAGACTATGGACACCCCCATGGAGGGCCTCACCCTCCCTGGGGGAATGAGGGGATAACGGGGGGGGGGTTTGGGGGAGGGCACGGGAGGAGGGGAGGGAATGGGAGCGGGACCTGGAACTGACTTGTGAAGCAACCTTGTTTCTTATCTAAATTTAAACTGGAAAAAAAAAGAAAGTTATTTAAATGCAAAAAAAAAAAAGAAACTGTTATCATAAATAAGAGATAAGTACAACAGGGACCACACCAAAAGTAGAACATGATAAGAAACACATATACTCATGGCAGGAGATAAAAAGGGTGGTGGGAGAATGGCTCTGGTGTGTGTGTGTGTGTGTGTGTGTGTGTGTGTGTGTGTGTGTGTGCGTGCGCGCACGCGCGCACATGTGAGCGTGCATTGTGCACACAGACATATATGTGGGGTAGAGTGAAACATGCACCCATACAGAGGTTGCATCCATTTTCTGAAAGCAGGAAGAATTGGTGCATGATTATCATTGACTCTTGTTTTACAGCATGACATGCAATGCCACTGAGGAGCCGACTGCTATTTAGAAGGAGAGGTTCTTTTTTTCTTTGAATCAACAGAGCATCTCTTGGCAGTGGAGTATAAAACAAGCAGAAAAGTATTTCCCCATGTGCTGGAGGTGGTTATTATGGTTGTCAAGGAAACATTCACACTCCTCAAGGTCACCTCTGGAAACAACTGCAAGATGTGAAGAAGAGATCAATACACGAAAGCCAAGACCTCAGATCCCTAACACTGTCTCCCATTTTAAAATATTCCTAACGAATATTTGTTTACCTAATTCTATGTGGCTTGAAGTAGTCAAATGAAGCTGATGTCAAGCCCAGTGTTTTTCCAAGGTCTGTTTTTGGAAACTTCTGATGTTTAGTGGGGTTGCTCAGGGTGTGGGATTATACTGGGTCAGCAGTCTGAAGACAGATCAAAACAAAATTATAAAGATAAGCTCCATTTGGGACTTCATTTGTAAGAGACTCTTGTTTAAAATAGTAAGACTTTAATTTCAGAAAATATTATCTACCAGACATGTGCAGCATTTTGGTCAGTCAGTTTATCTAGACACTCATCAGTTGACTTATTCATTCATTCTTTCATCAGATAATTATGATTTCATACTATGTGCCTGGAAATGCTTTGGTCATGAGAACTGAATGTAATGCAGTCCCTAAATCTAAGATCTGAGAGATCTGACAGACTCAATCTGAAGAAAAAGTCAATATGGAAACCAGTGATGGAGTCACTTGTAGAGGGCCACATGACAAGTTTCGTATCATCTAAGTAACTGTTCCTAACGGGTCAAGGAAGAAAGGGACTAGGGAGAGAGAAATGTTTTCATGTAGCCTTGAGAGGGAATGTGCACTGAGCATGGAATGCAGTGCTGGAAGTGCATCTTCTGACAGAAGCAGCAGCAAAGGGTAGAGATGTGAGGATCAGGGTGCCCTGGGCTCCTGCTATCTGACGCTCCGGATACACTAGGGGGAGTTTAGATATGAGGCTAGAAAAGAGAATGGAAAGGCATCCATTTTCTCTGCTGTATTTTCAAAAGGTACTGCTAGCGTTTCAGACATGTTCTCTATATGACAACTAATGACACAATTTAATTCTGTAATAAATAACTTTGACTTTAAGTGGCTGGATATGATTCCTTCTATTTTTCATGACAATCCAAAGTTTGGTTTCACTCATGTGCTTGCAGAGGGCTTTATGGAATTGGGATTTCTGAGGCTGTTTGTCATTTAAAGCAAGCATTGTGAAACCAACTCTCTCTTCTTTTTAAAATTCACAATGATATCTGATTTACTGGAAGACCAGTGCTGCATTCTGATAATCAGGCTTGCAGAGATTTTCACTTTCAAAGTAACTGGTGACACGAAGCTGTTGCATCGTCATTTTGTGGAATCTCAGACACTGTGTTATGTGGTTAGAAAATGACAAATGCTGACAGCTCTCCTGTGTACTAAGATATGTGCAGCCACACCGACATGTTACCTCTTCTAGCATAAAGGAAAGATATGAGAGTTTGTATTCAAGTGAATGGGGAGGATGCCAGCATTGCAGAGCTAAAGGTTTTGGCATCATCTAGGTTAGCCACCTGTTCTAGCCTCCATTTACTGAATAAATTAGAAGCTCTTGGGAGAGTGTGTGCAACTGACTGGCCTGTCTTGTTACCAAGGTAACCATTTCTCTCTGCTCTATGACTCTGAAAGGGTTCATAACCCATTAGTGCTCCTCTGGGTGAGAATATGAGAACACTTCTTATTTTTTTATGTTCCCTTTCATTCTTTTCTTCATTTTCTGGTCAAGATAATGTAACCAGTAAATGGTCTTTCTATATATGTATATTCAAACACTGCATTTCCCAATGTCATGGGGAAACTAGAGTGTAAATCTTAAAGGCACATGACAGCTAAATGGAGAGATGCATACAATAATGAATAAAAAATGAAAAAAGATATTTCAACTTCAAATGCTTTCGAAATTGAAAATGTTTGCAAAGCAGGCCTTATTTAAAGCACACGTATTTAAAAACACAGACTGACTCCCTGAGTCCAGTGCAATGGGCAGTGCACAAAAGCTACTTTCACAATAGAGTCCACATATGCTTATTAACTCTACGAGGCTTCTCTTACTCTACAGGGACACTGTAACAAGAAAGAGCAAGTGGAGAACCTTATTTAAAATCAGATTAATCAAATCACAAATCTGCTTTCTGAGTGTCAAAGGAGCCGGGGCAGGTGACTTCCCACTATAGTAACACCTACAGGGCCCATGCATGATATGACTTTCAAGATGCACACAGAACCAAGAATTTGAGTTTCCACCTTTTATAATGCATGGTTGTTATTGTTCTGTCTAGCTTTTGCATACTCCCTACCTTTACTAAATATTCATGAATTAAAACATCATTAGAAGGACTTTCAAGTAAGTTAATCTATGCTACCCTATTTCAGGCATTTTTTTCAAAGACAGAGTGTTACAGGAAAAATAAAAGACCTAGAGACAGATAGATATTGAGGTTCAAGCTTCAAGTTGAAGGTCAGAGAAGCAAAGCAGCCAAGTCAGTAGATCTTACCTCTACCTAGCTGAAATGACAATCTTATCTCCCAGAATCCTCAGAGGCAAAAGTTCTCAGTTCCTGTTTCCTCCTGCCTTTTATTCCTTTCTCTGCCCAACCATATCACTCCTGTCTCCGCCTCCCTAGTGCTGGGATAAAGGTGTGTGATCCCAGGTGCTGGGATCATCTTTGTGTGAGCTGTTTCTTTTAGGACTTCATCAGCTCTGTGTACTTAGTGTGACCTTGAACTAACAGAGATCTGTTTACCTCTTAATCCTGAGTCCTGGGATTAAAGATGTGTACCACCACTGTCTAGCTTCTATGACTAACTAGTGTAGCTAGCTTTGCATCTGAACCTCATGCAAACTTTATTAAACCATAAGTAATACATCATCACGACAGGGATTTTCTGTGTAGCCCTGCTTGCAGTTGTAAAGAACATACAATCTGATACAGCCTACAATGTTATAGGGTGGTCGTGCCCTGTGAGAAAACAGACTTGGGATTTAGCTCCTTCCAGATATTATTAATTTAAGAAAAGCAGCTACCTAGAGAAAAATGCCATATGATAGGTTTCAAGAAGAGGGTTTTGTTTTTTTTTTATTAGAGAAAGGAATCATAAAAAGGGGAAAGGTGAGTGGGAAGACCAGCCTTCAGGGACAGGAGCAGCAGTGGAGAGGAGAGAGGCAGATAGATAGATAGATACAAACAGATAGACACACAGAGAAACAGACACACAGAGAGAGACAGACAGAGAGAGGGAGATAAAGAGAAAGGAGGATGAGGATGGGAAGTAGGCAGGGCCCACAATGAATATGCACAGGGGTTGCTCTTAGTGGCTGCAGCTGAGGGTGTATCCTGTCAGAACCCCAATGGCAGGCCAGTACAGATGCCTGAATAGTAACACTGATTGTCCTGGAAATCATTCTGTAGACCAGGCTGGCCTCAAACTTTGAGGTCCACCTGCATCTGCCTCCTGAGTGCTGGAATTACAGGAGTGCACCACTGCCTGACTCTATTCAGTCTTTTTGTATGACCTTCTTTTGTTCACATTAAGTCTATGAGACAAATTCTTTTTCTTGCTTTGTAATTGAGTGACCTGAGGCCAAGGAAAGTAGGGCTGGAATTTAAATTTTGATCTAGCTTATTTTAAAAGGTAATATTTCTTCACTATACTATATAGCCTACAACATTCTGAAATAAAATGAAATATATTTCACATATGTAAATATACATATATATGAATATACATATATATACATATGAATATATATGTATATATATAATAAAATATTGGGAAGAATATAATCCTTGATAGAATCCCAAAACAGTGAACTATACCTCTCAGGGGCTTTCTGATTGATTATTTTATTAACAAAGGAATGTAAATCCCAGTTTTTCCAAAGTCACAGCACAGGGGCAGCATTGAATTTATTCATAATGGAGAATGGCTTCACCACACACAGTAATGTTTCTAACACTTATTTTCTTATTATCTGTCCGGAATAAAGGATTAACATTGAACTTCCAACTCCTGCAGTCATAACATTGCTGCTTGTAGTTGTAAAGAACATACAATCTGATACAGCCTACAATGTTATAGGGTGGCCATGTCCTGTGAGAAAACATACTTGGGATTTAGCTCCTGCCAGATATTATTACAATTAGATTTACTCTGATTTCTGATTTTCTATCGGTTTCAGTCCTGGGTTTTGAATTTTCAAAGATACAATTTGTATTTTTAAGTAAGTAGTCCTGACTGATCTGACTATCTCATCCTACTCAGGAAGTTTTTAAAACACACAGTCCTTCCTGACTATTAAAACAGTGCAGATTTTTCTAGTGTAAACGCCAAAGGGTTCGGATTCTTTGTCAGTTCACTATGGTTGGTCCTGGCTGTACCTAGAGACTGACAAGTCCCAGGAGAACAAATACCATGGAAGAGCAACACAAGTTGCTTTCCTAGAGCAGAGGGACTTGGTGAAGGAAAAGACATTATTTATACACATGGTTGTATGGTGAGGATTAGAGCCAGAGCTGTGTGCAGGGAAAGCAAGCTAGATCTCCAGCCCACAGATGAAATTTAAATACACTTTTGTTCTCCAAAGAATGTTTTATTTCACTGTTTTCATTCAATGTACTGTTAGCAACTATCACTGTTTTCCCTTATTCTGTTGCTTGCTACATTCTTAGAGATGAATAGGCAGTTCCTCTCCACTGGAATTCCAGGGTAATAGATCTTCAAGACAGACAGTCCTTAGAGTTTGACACTGTCGGAGTCTGATGAACTCAGAGACTGAAAACAAATACAGGTATGCTCCCACAGAAATTCTGGCACACCCACTCAAGCTGAGCAGGAGTTATCCTGGACAACTTGCATTGCTGGCCATTGTCCCCTTTACCTCATGCTCTCCTGTTTGCCTTTCCTTTATGTCACCTTGTCTTTGGATGTGGGAATAATGTGCCTTCTCATTGTAGTCTCATTTCATCTCACTTCTGCCTTTCCTTTTTGGTCCTATTACATTGATTGGCTAATTTGAATCTGAACTTTTCTGGCTTTTTTTTTTTATTCGAATTCCTTGACTCCCCAACTACCGGTCTCACTAGGGTCATTCTTCCATCATTTCTTCCTTTTTTTTAACGTTCTAATGGTCAAACACAAGTTCTCACATTTGCTCAAGGAGTTATACCCCCGTCTTAATACTGTATTTAATTTCCTGCTGGCAACTAAACTTATGGAGTGTTGACTTAGCCATGAATTCCATGTCTGGAGCTTGTTTCATCAGAGCAATTCTCAGGCAGAGAGTGCTTGCATTACACACACGCACGCACACACACACACACACAATCACACACACCAAAACAAAACTACAAAAAACCCCACTTGCTCTAGTCAAATGCCATTGATCACACTTGGCAGTTAATCTGAGCAATGAAGTTACACGAAGTCCTCCACAGGCTACTCCCCCAAGCTGAGACCAGCTAGTTTGCCGCTGAGGAAATCAGCCAGTAACACCTAACAAGAAATCAAACTCCTTTTAGCCACTGGATTTTAGTACTGTTTAGTTTTAAACCAGGCATTTAAGAGTCATTCTTCTACACAAAAGACATTATCTTGAAACTATCGATCTCTACTGTGTTCTGTTCTAACTAAGTTGGAGAAATTTCCATGTCCAGTTGGAAGGAATGTTTAGTGATGGGTAATTGGAAGTTAAAACCAAGACTTCCCTTGGAGGGATACTATTGTAGCCCAGATATGGAAAGGAAGGTCTGGGCCCTCTCCTAAACGATGTGACAGATTTTGATGATACCCTGTGGAGGGGCTCACTATCCCTGGGTGGGAAGTTGGTTGGGGGTGTTGGAGGGAAGCATGGGAGGATGGGAGGGTGAGAAAATGGGGTGATGGATGTGTAAATGAGAGTGCTTCTAAAATATATTTTTAAAAAGAAAAAAAAACCCCAAGACTTCAGAAAGAAAGCAACCAGGGCTGTTAAGTGGAGGTGAGAAGAAGCCACTCCCTTGGCAAACCAAGAGTGCTCAAGTCTCACTGCCGTTTGCCTCTGTTTTTATCTT